AAAAAAGGACACCTAATTGAATTCTAATTGTAATTGCCTAATGGGCCTTCTAGAGTTCTAGTTCTAGTAGAAGTCTAAAAGTAGAAGACTATTAGGAATTAKGAAACTACTCAAACTAGGAAGTAGGAACTACCAAACTAGTAGAATACTAGTTCGGGTCGGGTCGGGTTGGTTTCGGTTTTCACGCAAGAAAACCGAAACCGACCCAAGATTTTGGTTTATGTATGTGCCCAACCCGAAACCGACCGGTACGGATGAAAACCCGGCCGACTCGGGTTGGGTCGGTCCGGGTTGGTGGGGTTGAGCATTCTTATGAACATCCCTACCTATCAGTTATCCCCCATTATCGCAAAACGGATCTCATCGTGGCGAGGATCCTGGAACCGCTCCGTGAAAACCGCGAGGACTCCATTATATAAAGGCTCCACCCCCGGGGGTGCAATGTATGCGTGATTTTCCTGCTCTCAAGATCTCTACTTTAAAAAGCAATTTTAGCTCACTACTAGCCTATTGACTTAAGCATCGGAGCGACCTCACCGGGTTAGCATCCCTGGGGTCTCTGATATCCTTGCAGGTGCAGTCCGTCGTTTGTCTGGAAGCCAGATCACCTCTAGCAGAGAGCAGCTAGACCCAGTCGCCTCTTCGGCATGGGCATACAAGTCCCAATCGCCTCCTCGGCATGGGCAGACAAGACCTAATTGCCTCTTCGGCATAGGCAACTCATCTCGTGCCTAAGGTATAAACAGCTCGGGTGTAAACCCTACGATGCCTAGCCCACCTCGGTATATAATAAAAAAGTTGAACCCCAATAAAGGGACAACTAACATCACCAAGTAGCCCGCGCGCAGACAGGTCAGGTAGATACCCTACAATGTCCCTGCACCTCAGGCACATCGTGCGAAGTTACCCCTATTTGTAGTCCAGCTCGGTAGCTCGACAGTTTGGGATAACCTATACCTATTTGGTTAGTTCGCCAGTTAGAGAATTATTTGCACTTAGAACATTTGGCAAAAAAAGTGTATTTCATTAATGTGAGGAGCTCGTTAAAAAAAAAAAAAGAAGAAGAAAATTCTCTACTCTAAGCCGAGCTCGCAGGCCCGAGATATACAAGGAAGACTCAGTGCTCTTCACCCTTGCCTGAGGCCTCAGTAGGATGATCAACCCTTTCGTCAGCGCCGGCCTCTCCGATGTCAAGCAGCTCATCATCAGTCTCTACCTCAGAGTCCGGGTCTTCGGCGGCTTCGATGGCCATTTCATCCGTAACCCTCGAGGTGGTGATAGCGCTCAGATCAAGCTGCGGGAACTCGCGCCTGGTCAGCCACCTACTGAGCTTGAAGCCCTTGCGGTAACCTTCTGTCCCAGCTTCGATTAGCTCTCCTTTGAACTCCTCTGAGCTCTTGTACTCTTCGACGGCCTTTACTTTGGACTCTTCCACCACCTGAAGGAGTACCTCGGTTCGTTCCTTGACATGGGCCTCGAGGTTCTCCACCTCCCGCCTCAGCGCCGCTTTCTCGGACATCAGCACTGAAATGAGCTCCTTCTGAGCCCGTGCATCGTTTTTCAACAGGTTGATCTCGCTACGGGCCAGACTCATCTCGGCGTGAGCTTCGCGAGATGAGGACTCAGCTGCAAGAGCCCACTTCAAATGTAGCTTGGATTGGTATGTCAGAGCGTGCACAACGGAGTTCACCTGCCAAGAGAACAATAGTTAGTACCAGAAAAGTCTTAAATACGAAATTGAAGAAGTCAAGACGGAACTTACCACCATGCAATGAGTAGCCGCTCGAGCTCTGAGCTGAGCGACCAACTGCTCGGCCCAGCTAGCGACCTCTTCAGCATACACCACGCTTTTGCTCTTGAGTTGCGTAGTGGAGGGCTGTTCGGACTCAAGCACAATAGCCTACGGTGACTCGACGTGAGCTCTTTTGGCAGCTCGCTTCTTCTTTCCCTTCATCTGGCCAAGCAGTTGATCAGCAGCGAGCTTCATGGGAGCTGCAACGAAAGCAGAACATCAGCAACATTATCAGAAATAAAGAAAAAACTCAAACAGAGACGACCTACCAGGACTCAGGCCAGCCTACACAAGCTTGTCTTCAACCACGTAGTCCGCGAAGTTGAGGCCGAGCTCCGCCCAAGATTGGAGCACTTCCTTTATTTTCAGGTCCAGTCAGACGGGGGTCCTGAATGGCCGCCCTCCAATGGGTTGGGAAGGGCCATCCCTCAGTGTTTCAAACCACGAAGTAACCCCGCTTCCAGGCCGAGACGCTATTTGGGAGCTCGTGCAAAAGCTTGTAGCCCGGACGAGGAGATAAGTAATAGGTCCGCCTATGCTCGGGAAGGACACAGGAGGCATTCTTCTTTATGGACAGGATTGAAGAGAAGGTATCGAGGTCAAGAGGCAGGTTATAGTCATGAAAAAGCGAGATGGTCCCTACTTTGTTGCGGATAGAGTTCAGGTGCAATTGGTCTATAGTAATGTTGAAAAGCTTCAAGACTTCTACAATCAAGGGGTGCAACGGAAGATGAAGACCAGCAGCGAGCTGCTCCTCAAAAATCACGATCTCGTTGTGATCATGCTCCTAGGGGAAGTTGCCTAGCAGAAGACTATAAATGAGGTTGTTCGGAAGATTGTACCGAGCTATCAAGACCTGGAGCCTGTCCGCTGTCTTTGTCGATGGGCCAAAGTTTTCTGGCACCCGACCTCGGTGCGAGGTGGATGCCAGATTACCAGAGGCCTCTCGTGCCTCCCGGGATGACTGCACCTCAGGAGGGCAACGGACCATTTCCAGACCCGAAGTATCTTCGGTATGACTATCGACCTGGGCCGAGGCACCCACCTCGGCCTCATCTAGAAGACTATCAAAACTGAAACTAGACATGAAAAAGACAAACTGAATCGAAGAGGAGAGCTAGGGAAGACTCACCAAGGGGAAAGACCGAACCGAAAAGAAACACCGAACTGGAAGACTCGAGCTAAAGATCTTGAATGCGACCTCAGATCGAAGGCTAATGAACTTATGGCGAAGAAAATGAGTCTCGGGTCCCCCTATTTATAGCCATTGTACCTGAGAATCAACGGTCGAGATCAATGCAATCCGACGGCTCCTAAGAAAGTCGGTTGCGCGACCCCCGAAGTTGAAATCGGTTTAGCGCATTTTTTGACGTCCGCTGAGTTTGTAGATCGCATGACCTCTGTGCATAAACCAGACGTGACCCGGGTTATCCTTGGTCGAGCTGAGTATCCGAACTGGTCCGACCAACGATTCGCCCCCCAAACGGCCTAGACCTCAAGCCAAATCCACTTGTCACATCATGAACTCCCCGCACCAAGTCAGGACCCATAGCTCGGGGAGTAGGGGCAATTGATGAAGGGCGATTTGGCCCAACCTCATAACAGGGGGACACGTGGACATGACCTGGCTAATAGATGACAGCTCAGCATGACCAGCCCGCAGCAGAACAACCTCGAGTACCCAACTATCCCGGGCTAAAGTGACCTCGAGACAAGGTCACCTCGAAACAAGATCACCTCGGTACCAGATCACAACAGGAATACCTTGACGCCAAGGCACTTTGACACTCAGTCCAGTTCGGGACTTAAAGGCGTCAACTCGGGGATACCGACGTGCCACTTTGAGGATTCTGAAAATCCCTCCAACGGTTCCCGGACTACACGGGATGACACCATGTAACAGCTAGCGTTATCTCCTCCGACCGATTCGGGCGGACTCAATAAACCCTATCAGTTATCCCCCATTATCGCGGAAACGGATCTCATCGTGGCGAGGATCCCGGAACTACTCCACGAAACCCGCGAGGACTCCATTATATATAGGCTCCACCCCCCGGCGGTGCAATGTATGCGTGATTTTCCTGCTCTCAAGCTCTCTACTTTCAAAAACAATTTTAGCTCGCTACTAGCCTACTGACTTAAGCATCGGAGCGACCTCGCCGGGTTAGCATCCCCGGGTTGTTCTCTGATATCCTTGCAGGTTCAGCCCGCCATCCGTCTGGAAGCCAGATCACCTCCAGCAGGGAGCAGCTAGATCGCGCTACATCAAATATGTTTTCTCTACATTCATCTAAATTAAAATGAAACACAAAAATAAAATTTAAAAATCTACTATCCATTCAAATTTTTTGAGTCAAATACATTTTAGTTTCAAATTGATAAATTCTTGGTTTATACAAGAGATGTTCCATTCACGATGCCATTGGAAGATTTTCAAATCAAGACAGCATGCCTATTCTACTACTAGGACTGCTACTTCCTTCAAAACCATCCACAAGTAAGCCCTTATGCCTACCAAGCCTGCTATTTCCTTTAGAACCTTCCACAAGTAAGCTCTTATGCCTTCCACACTTTGGCGATTTCTGTGTTGGTGGTATCTACACAATCAGGTAAGTTAGATTTTCAAACACAATTGGAGAAGAGTTCTAAACAATGTAAAATAACTAAGAAGAGTTCATGTAACTAAGTGCTGAGTACTGACCTAAAGAGAGGAAAAAAGAAGATAAGAGTTTAATGATGTTCACGATGATAAAATACTATAAATAAGCTCAAGATTGAACTTTTTAGTGTATTACCTTATACCAATTTGTTATTAGTTCACTACTAAGGGAAACAAAGAAAACAATATAATGTCATCATGTATACAAGAAAGCAAAAGTAACCTACAAATCTCGTAAAACTTACAAGATGGTGGAGGCTGAAATTATAATATAAATTAAAAAGGGATAGAATTAAGATGTAAAGCATAGTAATCCACAAAATTCAAAATTTTACTTACTTTTTATTCTTCATATACATAGTCCTCTGTCATAACAATGCTAGGTTTGACACTTGGGGGTGAACAAGCAAATCTTGGGCCTCTTCCCAAGTAACCTCTTACTTTTGGATCCACTGTTTTGACTCCTTTTCATGGGTTGCAACACCAGACCCCCATTTGTCCAAATCCCATTCTTCTTAGTTTTACGCCAGTTAATGTCCCCATCAGCTGAACTTAAGTGTTCCTACAGAGTATTCAAGTGAGGATCTGTGCTTCCCTTTAGTGACTGAAGAAGGGCAGAGTAACATTAGAAAAGGCAGATGTCATAACAATGCCATTCCTAACATTTTTAACAGCCCTCAAAGTCCTTTATGCCTTTTCTTTTCTAATCATCTTTTCTTTTTCCCTTCAGAAATTCTACATGGTGGTGAAAGAAAAAAGCTCCTGTGTTATTGAGATATTCTACTTAAAAACTCTCTGGTGTTGTATAGTGAGAAATAATTAGCATTTTACAAGATCTTCTTTGGTCCAACATTTGCACCTCAATTCAGCATCAACCACATTGAATCAATTGACTAAACTAATCAAGCTTCACAAACATTTAGTAAAATAAGTAATTGAAACTTGACAAAACAACTTATATCCCTGTATCAATCTATGAGAATAATAAAATAGAGTCAATTGAAACTTGACAAAAACACTTAAAGAGATGATTGGTAGATTCTCCTCCATTCGGATTCACAAACATTTAGTAAAACAAGTAATTAGATAAATGAACATTTAACTTGTCAAAATAGGGCAGAACACAAACTTTCACTGTCAAATTGATGGAAATAATAGCTGAAATATTCCCACTTTAAGAAGCAACAAACACAGAAAAGAAAAAGTGATGAAAAATTGTTTGAACACCAAAGCAATCTAAAATTTATTATTTTTAATAAACTCTTTTACCCATGTAAATTCCAAGTCATCATCATGAGTAGAATATACCTGTATGAACATTAAGCCCTTGGGCACCAAAGAAACAAGTAGCTATTTCAAAGGTAGACACATTATTACCCTAGCTTGCAAGAGCAGCAAAAGTTGCATATGGGCAAGTACTCAATGTCATATTATCTTCAGCTCCTATAAGGTAGTGAAGGTACAAAATGCTAGCATTCATACATCTCCCACAACTACTCTCCTCTGAAAGAGGTAACTTGCAGTTTCTCTGTGACATCCTCAAAGTTTGGAGATTCTAGCATCTGCATGACAGTTATTCGGCTCAACACTCATAAGTGACTGGGATTTTTATACCAAGTGCACAAAAGACTGTTGCATTTGATGGAACTCCATATAGTTCCAGGGTCTCTAATACGGAATGGAGGCAGATGTCAGACAATCCTGAAGGAACCCCAAGGTTGCTTGACATGCTAGCATAGCGGGCAATTGATACTGCCACAAAGGCATTGATATAACGACAACACTTTCCTTTGTCACCTTTGTTGGAGCAAGCAGAGGATACTAGTGTTAAATTTGACCCACTCAAATCAAGTGGACAATCTGCAAGAATATCAAGAAATGAACTTGTAAGATATTCATGTACTTAACTGTATTACAGTCAATTGGTGCCACAAACTATCATGCAAATAACTATTGCAATAAAGAGATAATTCCTAAATGGATAAATTGATGAATGTTACTTGTTGCACTAAAAGTTTTTTTTTTTAATTTGGCCAAATTAAGGGGATGAAATCACATGGAAGGAAGAGTTTAGATGAAAGCCCATGGTGCATTCCATCTATGTGGCCTTAGCAAGAGGGGCACCAAAGGCAGTTGAGACTGACTATGTGTGGGGTTTTCTTGTTCTTGCTAGATCAAGGGCTTCATGCACACATTGATAAGGTTCCCACCATCAATCACTTAAATATTAGAGGTCTCCCCACATCATCTCTCCCTTGAATTAGTAAATGTCCAGTCTCTTCTACATTATGGAAATTCTATTTTATTTTTCATACGAATTGGGTTAGATTCAACATCTTTAAATCTGTGCTCTGTTCTAGGAACCCTTGCTCTCTAGGAAGTAGGGAAAATGTTTACCTTCCAGGCAGCCTTAGTCTCTAGCAAAATTTGCTAATGATTTAGATGACCCTTGCGTCCATTTGAACAAGATGTTCAAATCATTTAAAAGTATCTTACTTCCCAAGTGAAGTGCAATTAGATGCCAAGGTCCTGATTGCAGGCCCTCATCCAATCTGTAATTACTTGAGAATCTCCTTTCACTACTACCTTGTTATGTCCTGGTGAACAACCTAGCGAAACTTCATCTAAGTCTAGATGGAATCTGCAATATTTATCTATGACAAGGATAAGCAATCATCCATAAATGTCCAGATCCCACTTTTAAAAGAAATTATTTATTTGGTTTGCTTAAAATCCTTGAAAACCTGTGCCCAAAAGAAAGTAGACGTTATAGTTCTCTTTCACAAACTCCAATTGATTAATGTGCAATCATTCTTCTCCACCCAAATATTAAGCATATTTTTTTTTTATTTATAGTCCTTAGAGAGGAAAAAGAACTACCCTTAGAGGGCTTCTAGTGCTTCAAATTGTTAAATAGTGTATTCTCTTAGCTCCAATCAGATTAATGTACATATGCATCTATTGTAAATGAATTAAAGTACATAACTGATTCATGCTATATTTGGTGTGTTTCTGTGTCATTACCCTTAAACTGGACACTTATGAGATTCATGTTAGTTTAGAATGTTCTTAATCGTTGGATAGACTTGGGAAAGTTTATCCTGCCAAGACTGACACTAATATGTTGCCAAGTGGTTAGGTTAGCTTGTCTCAATTGCCAGGGTTAGATTCGAAGTACATGTAGTATGTGTTTGTTTGAAACACTGAACCCAAACCATTTTCCAGTTATGCCCTAGACCTTGGAGATTGGTGGGCAAAACTGGAAAGTTACACATAACCCCTAGACTTGATTATGATACTACACTTGGTATTAGATTGGGCTATTTTTTATGTGCCAATCAGTGAGATCCTTTGGGGGTCAAAACTTAGGTATGTTGGGGTAGTCTTAGAATTCACCCGAGTGGATGACCATAGTGACAGGATCAGCCCCTTTGTCGGACAAAGTGAATGATCGGGACTGCACTCTCTCTAACGGAAACCAAAACTATCAACAGAGAGTGCAATACTGCACCTTGCAGCCAAGGGAGAGGTCCTCCCTTGTCAGGTAGTGTTTGATTATTAAGGGCTAAGGGGTTAAGTGTAAGACCATTTAGGGCTGATGGGCTAATCTCACTTAAGACCATTGTCCTTGATCCTTCATAGGATGGCTGGAATCAGAGACCATTTAGTGTAAATGTTGGGCCCATTAAGAGCCTATACTGATGGACTCAGGGGTTCACTGTGTTTGATAGTGAATTTGACCAGTCTTTTTCACATAAGCTGGGTTGAACCCATATGGGCTTATGTGAGGTCATTGTTGGGGTCCCACACCTACAAAGAGAGTCAAATTGGCCAATCACTAAAAGGGGATGTGAGCTACTTGTTAAATGAGCCTAAGGCCCATGATTAATTAGATTAATCAAGGTATCACATGATAGCTTAAAGCAGTCATGTGACATGGGCGAATATGGGTATGGATATGGGCTTAGATCAGCAATAGGATAAGAGGATAACTCTTATCCACTTAAAGAGTCCAAATCCAAATAAAGATTTGGATTATGAATCACCTAATTGGATTATGAAAGTTGATCCTTAAGGCTTATAAATAGAGGAGGGTGAATTGCTCTAGAGATCACCTTTCTGCTCTCAGTTTTCTCCCTCTACTCTTGCTGCACAAACCCTAGTTCGTTCTCCATCTGGTGACTAATCTTGATCGGTCTTGGTTTTTGATTTTTGCAAGAAAAATCAGATTTGCATCGTGCTCACAACCCTTGCTCGATCCAAGCTGTTGGGTTGCAATTCTTGCTGAAGGACTATGTTGTTGAATCGGCTTCAATTCAAGTTGCGCCATCTTCAGTAGAAGCTAGTTTTGGTCTCCTCTTTGGGTGTGAACACCCACTTTGGGAACTACACGTGTGGAATTCGTATCAGGTATTCTTCTCCCTTTCTTTTGGTTTTAGATCTGGTCCGGTTCAGTGCAAGAACAATCCTTGAAAAATGCAGTTTAAAAACTGAGAATACAATTCCCGGAAGGGTAAAATAAATTTTTGAAATTTCGCCCTACCATCCAGCATGGTTCGGCCATCCATATGATGGATTTCCCCTTCCTTCACAAATAGGCTTTATCATTGGAGTGAACTCAGAGAGAAAAGCTAGAAGGGAAATCAAACCATAAAATCTATGTTATTTGAGACAACTTTTCCCCCCTTGCACAAGGAGTAACCATGTGAGGTCCAGTGGGGGTGTTAAGCAAAGCTATAGTATGGACTGTGCAGACAAGTGGAATACCAGGATCTTCTTAAACAAGAATTGTTCAATGGGTGCACTGGTTGATCTTATTACTATTAGGGTGGCTCAGTGTAAACTCAAAAGGAATTCAGAGTCTTTTCTAATGATGATATGATTAGATCCTTAAAGTCTAGTGGGGCTAGATCGTCAACTCAAAAAGTTACACCACAAGTATGGACCATGGAGTGTTCAAGATGAATTTTAATAGCCACTCAATAGGGAACCTAAGAGCCTAAAGAGTTGAGATAGGTAGATAATCATGGTGTTATATGGCCCCATAGGCCAAAACTATTTGAAGGCAGAGATTCTGGGGGTGAAAGGGAAGAAGTTATTCAGCAATTTGGGCGTTCGCTTTATTTTATAGTTTGAGATAGTCCACCATTAAGACATTGTTGGTAGCCATCCAAATGGGGTAGTCATCAATGGAACCAAAGTTTGTGACAACCTAACCAATGTAAATCCAAATTCCCCACCCCCAAAACCATAAAGTCAATAGATGTATGCAATAACACCCTTTCCGCCTCATCTTTGTGACTTTGTTCTCATTGTCAGCAATATCAACTTCCTCCCTTGAGCAATTTCTCACTAAAGCTTTTTTTCATTTCTCTTGCTATGAGGATTGCAAAGAGATGTGAGTACTCCCACCAATACACATGGAAAAAATAAAATGACTAGATATGAAACTTGAAAATTACACATAATGCCTAAAATTTTTCAAGGAAAAAAGGAGTAGGGAACACTAAGGGGGTGTTCTACAACTTGAATTGTTTTTCTTGTTGTCAGTTCCAAAAACAAATCAAAACCATATTGTTTGAAAACATATTATTTCTTAAAACAAAAACACAAAACATGTTCTCAGGGGGGGGGGGGGGTGTCTTCTACTTTCAAAATTGAAACCAAAAATATGTTCTTGAATCTGGCTGGAAAACATGTTTCGTCTAATTATTCAACATCATATTCCATAAATCATATAATTTTTATACTAGATAACTAGAAATTTTGTTTTTGTTTTAAAAACCAACATTTTGTTGGTTTTCAAAAACATGTAATTTTCTTTGAAACAAAATCAAATTGTTTTTCCCTTTGAAAACAAAACTAGAGTTCAAGAACATGTTTTTTTGTTGATGTGGCAATTCCAAAAACAAATGAAAACAAAAGCATTCATGTTGTAGAATGCCCCCCAAAATGTGCATATTTTATCTTCCAATAATAACAAAGGCTCTCAAGGACAAATAATTCAATTCCTCTTGTCAAGTTATGGAGGTAAACATATCAGACTTAAGAGGTAGATGGCTCATTGTCAAGGTGGTTCAATTGACCGTGGCTTTCCCCTGGCATGGTGCACAAGACACATCCAATGTTAGGAGGGCTAGGAGGTCAAAAGTGATGAGGTGGGTCATAACACTAAAATCAACCCCCACCCCCATGGGGCGCCACTACCCCTTACATCTTAACGAACTCCAAACTTATGGCAGTAGATTACCTCTCATGAAGATAGCACTCAGCTAGTCCAAAGTCAAAACTTTAGCAAAGCAAGTTGTACAAGTTCTATCAAGATGATGTTTGATCTCACAATAGCAATAAACATGTAAAATAATATGAAGAAAGCAAGAAAATAGAATTTTCGTTCTATGAATCAGAGTAGATGCAGAGTATACCAGCACATAAACAACCTTAGCCATAACTGAAGGAACTTCATCAAACCATATGGTGTTTCATTACTAGGACCAATATATCTGATCTTGAAGGATTCTTGGACACTAAACTAAAATCCAAATTAATAAATAATTATACTATACAAGTCAAAACAATTGTTTCATCAACTTATGTTTTCAACTTCAACAACTCTTCCCAAAGCTTGAAGTTCTTCCATAGGTATAGAGAAGAGCTAGTGAATTGGACCATATGCAATTTATCCAAACATTAGAACATAGTCAAAACCCATAAGCACTACAATATATAAGAAGATTAAACCGAGGAGCACTATAATATCCATGAAGAGTGACAATATTTTGATGCTTTATATCCCTCATTGCCTTCAGCTCCTTCTCAAATCCTCAGTCATGATTTGCATTACCCTTGTTTAGTTTTTT